GAAGTATACGCGAAGCAAGAAGCGGAAGCAGTTGTGAAGAAAACCGGTAGATGAAACACGCAGACACGGAGCACAATTCACTTTCGCTGTACAATCTGAAGCACTGACACTGCCCCGCCGGGCGCGGCTGCGCGCAGGAGAGTCGGTCTGCGCGCGTGCTTCTGTACTCTGTCCCCGCTCAGCCGGGCGAGGCGTCGAGCGGGGCAGATCAGTCCGTGCGCACAGCGCGACGGTCGAAGTGAGACTCTGCCGGGGTCGTACGTGACCCACATTTTATACGCAATGCTTAAGACGTGTGCAAAACGAGTGCGAACTTGCACTGCAGCGGGGAGGTGGCTGAGGGCGCCAGCTTGGCGGCCTACGTGCCTTAAAACGACGTGTCTTTAATTTATATCTCGGTCTCGGTGGTGGCCGCGGCGCTGCTGCGGCTCGGCAGCGTCGGCGGCACGCGTACCGACCGCCGGCCGCGTCTGCTCGCGCCCCGCCCTGCACAATGCCTCACAACTCATCCTGAGTCTGGACGGGGTGACGGCGGTGCGGCGGCGGGACGGCTGCAGCGAGCGGCGGCGGCGCCGCGGTGGCACGGCGGCCGGCCGGCTATCACGGCGGCACAGCGGTAGCGCGGGTTGGTTCGAGCACTTTCGTCGGTGACAGTTGGTATAGACTTAAGAGGTCTTTTTATTCGACCTGGGGCTTCAGAGGCACAGAGAAGCTAAGCCCCATGTCTTCGAGGAGTAAAATACAAATGCGCTTCCAATTCGAAGATAGGAGGATCAACGGACAGCGAATGCCATTAGACCGAACGGAGAGCACTTGCTGCCACCATCGAGACCACTCAAACACTAGAAGAGATTCAGGAGGTCAGCGATGGGCGTAAAAGATAAAGGGGGTTGGACGTCCATCGAGGCCTGTTTTAGCACGCGTCCCCGCCCGACAAGGTTGTATGATGACCGGATAAAGCGAGACGCTCACAAAACAACACAGCTGTGATCGGAATTCAGATACCGAACTAAAGAGAGATGCCTCCGCCGTAAGAACCCTGTGCAAAAAGGTAAACGTTTCGAGCACCATTCGAGATCACTTCCTTGACGTTTTATAGATGATATCCAAAAAGGCGAAGTCTTTGCCAACAGTCGGTCTTTTAACATCGGTTTGGAGGAAAGACCAGAAATGTAGCATGTGAGCGACCGGAACGGGAGACTGTTATAGAAAAATAAGCTTTATACTATCGATTGACCTTTGTCATTTACTGACTTAATCTCTTAATCAGAGATTGGGGAGTGCCTTCATTGTGCACACACTAAGGGCTAATCACAGCCCAAAAGCCTGATCAAGGGATAAAATGACCATACATGATGGAATCACATTAGCTTTTAATTAGAGCCTCGGCTTTCCAGCTTCATGGTCATATTCAGGGGCCAGAAAATTACAGCTTCGGGTCGGCCCACAGCACAGAGACTCCATTACCAACCAATCGCCGTAAAACTTAGTCAGTGACGTAACCTGGTCCTCTGGAGATAGGACTTTGTAACTCTCTGAGGCTGCAGCTGGACGTATGACGTCAGCGCGGCAGCTGTTCAGCAGCTGCAGCTGTCTCGGGTCAGAAGGGGCAGCTGTCCCGGTCACACAGGAGCAGCTGTCCGAAGCCAGCCAGCTGTGTAGGCGGTATCCAGCTGTGTGAGCGCCAGTGAGCAGCTCTTGACGGCGCCGCCAGGTGAGGACACATGGCGAGACGGTGTGACGCGACGCCCAAAACGATTGCCAACGCCGCCCGCCGACCGGGTCCGTCTCGAGTCCCATGTGACGTATGGTGATAAATGGATTGGGGAGCATGACAAAATATCGCCAATGGAGTTGCACAAGACAATCTTTGTGTACGTGAGCTTGAATACATTTCAGTCAGTTGATATGGATAGGCAGACGTTTGGTCACGGTGCGAGGGTAAACAGCTCAGGGTCGCTCAACAGCCTGGGGCGAGTTGAGCACCGTCCAGCGTCTCACGTCACATTTCGTGACCGTATTTCACGTACTAACCCGTGACATCCGCTTCAGCATATACACCTCCGCACTCGCGTGCCGACGCACACAACACGCGTGTTCTCACTGCTTCTAAATCCTTTCAGCCTTCATTCCTCCACCAGCCAGCCCCGCCGACATGCCTTCACGGGACGGCGGGCCTACCAAGGTCGCCGTGCCCGTCCGTCCGTCGGGCCCAACCGAGCCGGCGTCCGCCCTCACCGCTGATTTGTTCAACGAGCTGAAAACGGTCGGAACAGCAGCACCGGCGGCAGCGGCGACGGCGAACAAATTCAGCCGTTTGTCTCTGCAAGAGGCCAGCCAGGCTGTTGAATGGTCAGGCCGCGGCTGCTGATATTACGCGGGACAAAACGGAGCAGCAGCGTAGTGTGTGTGTGTGGGGGGGGGGGGAGGAGGACGGTGATGTATTTCAACTGCCCAGTGCCCATGTCAGTTCTTAGTCTAAGCTTCGTCAGGAAATACTGCGCAGTAGTCCAATCCAGGCCCTCGTATACCACCAGCTATGCGACCAGCCCTCGTATGCCCATTCTGCGACGGTCTCATAAGCTCCGAAAGCTCTGTCCAAGCAATCCCATCCAATAACCGTCCCCGACCCACCCATAGCTCTCCTGAAGCTTGCCTAGGCCCTCCCGTAATCCTGTCTCAACCCAGCCTGTCTCAACCCTCCCGCAGCCCCGCCGGATTAGCCCAGACCGGCCCAGCTCTGCCAAGCCCAGCCAAGCGCAGCCGTCCACCCAAACACAGCCTTGTCCTGCCCGGCCCAGTCCAGCTACCCCAGCCCTGCAGCTCAGTCCAGCCCAGTCCGGTACAAATCAAACCTCGGTCCAGTCAGCCGTCCGACTGGTCAGTCGGCGCGGTCCAGTCCGTGCCATATCGGGCCGGGGCTGTGGAAACACTCGTCATGCGGTGGCGAATTAAGGTGGGCAGCAGCCGTGTCGGTGGCCGCAGGTTTCGCAGGGGCCTCTCTCTCTCTCAGCCAGTGCGGTGTAGCTCTCGCCCCTCTCTTTACGGCAGCGGCGTGGACTGGCACCCGACCGGCAGGCTTGACCGAATCTGGACAGGAGTTGCTCGCGCTCGGTTGGCCTTTGCGTGGACAGTTGCCACTGTCACTAGGTGTCATCCTTATGGATGCCGCCATTGACCTGTGAAGAATTTTGGAGACGAATGACGATGCGAGATGAACTGGAGAGGAGTTATGCAAATATTCAGACATGAGTCAGCTGGACGGAGCTGGGCTAGTCAGGCTCCAAGAGATGTGCTGAGTTCAGAGGAGGTAAGTACGTTTCGATCTCCTGTGTACAAATGTACAATATAACTTATGGTCATAAACAATGAAAAAACGCAACGTTGGTCGGAAAAATAATCGGACATTTATGTATAAACGAAAGGACATCCGGGAGCTATGGAACTCTAAGCTTAAAACGCAGCGACTGGCACAACTGCATTCCTGAACATTCTGTAAGATATCGGACAGGACAATGGCAGGGTGCTGTGCCATCCTGGAGTTCAAGACGGGCCCAGGTCACGTAACATTGTTGAAAGCACTTAAATACACATCCTCGAGCATCGGACGACAATAACTTCGGTCACGAGTTCACTACGCTCTGGTAACAGGAAAACTTAGCATTGGTTAGGGAGCTCGAGCAAATGGTTCGTGAGTTTGAGTTAGTGAGACACCGCATCGTGAACTCTCACTGAATGCCTTCCATTAGAGGGACACCATGAGTGGCCGAGCTACCGTAAACGAGGCGTCCGACCCTGCGTGACGGCCGGTCCAGCTTCCGTGACGGTCGTCAGTCGAACGGCCGTCTCGTGACGAAGGCTGATGGACGGGTTTATGGCTCACTCATGGACCGGGGAAGTGTCGGGAAAGCGCAGTATGAGCCGATCATTAAATGAAGGATGAAACGGGGAAAGCGAGTCGACGTGCGAAGGAGCATGAGAAGATTTAGTTTGATCGTTTCAGTAAAATGACGTGGATCATCACATCAATGATAATAACCGTCTACAGCGCATGTTTTCCGCTAACTCCAAGGACAGTCTGGTTCAGCCCATCTATCGCTCATCAATCAGTTTCACAAATAGTTACTCGGAACTTCAGTTCCAGGAATATACCGCGCTTGACGTCAGGAATGCAGGTACCATCGCCAAGCCTGCCACTTTCCTCGACAGCCCCCCCCCCCCCGCTTGACCCATCCCCTCCTAAACTGACGGCACAATTGTTCGTGAAGGTCACGAAGCCTGCACCGATGTTCGGCAGTGAAACCAAAGCCTGTCTGACCTGTCCCTTCAGGATTCCTGACCATCCAACACATTGTTTGCCGTGGCATTTGAGCATAAACTCACAACGAGTGTCGACAGTATGTAGTACTCACACGTGTCATCAGCGAGTGAGTATATTTGAGCAGAATCTCGTATCATTCCCCGATAGCAGAGATCTGTTACTACGATATGATAAGCCCAAGTTCGGAGCAGTTGCCACGGAGCGCAGTTCTCTGCCGGACCGTGTCGTTAGAGGGCTGGATCTGGCCTCCAGCAACCTCTGCAGGAGCTGAATCAGTTGGAAACGGAACTGTCAATATCGATTTGAGAACTAAACGAATCGGTAAGTACCGAGCACGCTTGGCAGCGAAACGGTTCACTTACAAGTTAGAACAGTTTGCCATCGATATACCTATACGTTTGCAGGCAAGTAATGTGGTCTTCCAAACTTGCTATCGCATGGACTAGAGGATTAGCCGTCCTTCAGTGTACCTATATCCTCTCTCGAGAAATAATAATTGTGTCCGTTTTATATCCAGGTATACCTAGACACGACTGAGGACCAATCAGAGCTCGAAAGCCGTCTAGTGTGAGCAAATTGATAGCTCAGTTGTCGCTCTAAGTGAACACGAATAGTACAATTACTTCGCGCGTCGTTGACCAATCGTCTTCAGTAGATCCTTTGCAGCTCTAATGGGCTTCCCGAGTCATTCAGCTGCCTCGTCGGCTGTTGACGCATGCGCAGTGAGCAGCGTCGATCGATGAAGCCCCGGCTGTGCGGAGCCGACGTGGCTCCACGCGGGGTAGGGCCGCTCATACTTGGGCCGAACGGTCATACTAACGGTCATACCACGCGGTTATAATGCGGCTGTCTTAGTTTAGCGCTCCGTACATATGCTGAGTTTTGCTGCAGGACTGAGATCTTTAGCCCACTGGTTCGTTTGTTCTTGATTAGCTTTGTTTTGTGAGCTAGCTTCTGAAGCGATATCATCGAGTTGACAGTGCTGCACAATGCAGCTGCCAGATGAGGTAAGGAGGAGGGGACTCAGGGAGGGGGGAGAGGGTCTTAGCCTGTCCCTTCATTCGGGCATTGCGTTTCTAATGCATGCTGTGATTTAGTTACGTTATTCACTGCTCGAAGTGAGGAACGTGTTAGCGGTTTGAGGTACCAGATTATTTAGTTTTGCTTAGGACGCGGCTTTTAATAAGTACATAATTATATGTGTTGCATAACAAACGATGAGAGGCTTTAGACATTTAACAAACGGGAATACAGGTATACCCGTATTTGTAAAGCTTGTCCCATTATTTACCCAAATACAATTGCGTTCATGTGTCAGTAGTGAGAAGGAGAAGCAATTGATTCACAGGTTTAACTTACAACCAGGGACAATGTCACGCCACCGCACTATTTTTGGTTCTCGCACACCACTTCGAATGGTATTCTTGAACCACACCTCAGACATACATTCCTAATTCAAACTCTCGGTCATTCTTCTCGGAGCTACCGTGCTAATCGCCCGCCCAGTCGTCATTCTCTTCCACAACTTCTGCCTCATCGTCCACACCCCTGTCCATCTCTTCGTCATCATCATCGCCCTCGGTCGCGTCCGAGTCCAGCAGACCCATCTTCTCTCGGTGCTTGGCCGCCTTCCGGTCGATGATGTCTTGCCTTCTCTGCTCCCTCATCCCCTTCCTCCACTCCTTCTTCTGCTCCACCTCTCGCTCCAGCTGCTCGTCCAACTGACGCTCCAGACCCTCGTCCGTGGCGCCGAAGATCCCCGAGGTGGCTTCCTCGGGTCGGTAGGTGATGGCCGCAGGGGGAGGTCGCTCCGGCATGAAGCCGGGTTTGGGACAGAACCATCCGCAGCAGCGCTGCATAAGATACCCCCGCGAGGGTCCGTCAGGAAACCCAGAGATCATCGCCTCGTTGCTGGCCGAATCTAGGTACTTGGCCAGCAGAGCGATCAGCAGGTTCAGCCAGCACATGACCTCGGCCACGGCTCCCCAGTCGAGCATGGTGTCGTAGAAGCGGGTGACGTAGACGCCGACGGAGCAGTTGACGGCGTGCATTTTCATGTGCCGGTACACCTCCCAGGTGCGGGCCTGGCCGGGAGACGGCAGACAACGGTGGTCGTTCATGTCTGGGTTACAGCAGCTCCACGGTCGGATAGTTGGACAGTTGAAACATATATCAATGCTGCGGTTGGCGAGGGTCTCCACAATACGTCTACTGAGCGAGCTGAGGAATAGATGCTGCTGGAGGGTGCGTTCCGCACGCCAGGATCTGGAGTGCAGCTCCCGCTGGACTTTCGGAGGAAGATAATCCTCGTCCTGCAGACCCACCCAGTCGATGATGTGCCAGACCCAGATGGCCGAGCCGCCGCAGCACCGGTTCTCCGACTGAAGGCGGTCGACTTCTGCACGAGCCTCGTCGCTGTAGCGATAGAAGAAGATGGCGTCGTCAATCTTGTCCCCAAGTGTGTGCACCCAGTCACGCACTCCGCGGTACAACGCCACGTAGATCTCATGCTCGCAAATAGACATCACCAAGAGCCCAAACACCATGACGGATATGTACTCGTTGAATCTGGCGCGGGTCTGCCAGCGTGAGGTGTGGTAGCAGGCGACGGCGAACCAGATGTACACTGCCACGTGAATCGCGGCGTGGATCATCGCGATGGCCGGAGGTCGGAACATGTGCTCTGAAGGAGGGTAGAAGTAGCGGAAGCGGTACATGATGCACGCGACATCGATCGACATGATGACGACACCGGCGGTGAGCAGGAGTCCGACCATGCAGAGCAGGACCAGGACCAGACCCAGGCAGCGGCGACCGGTCTCGTTGAAGGGAACCGGACACCATGGTTTTACTGGGGTCAGGTAGAGCATTTTGACGGTGATCAGAGGGGCTCAGTGGCCGGCCGAGGCTCTTACGTCAACTGGAGAAGAGCTTGAGTGCCCTTACAGAGTCCGCCCAGGGTCGTAGTGTTCGAAGGAGAGTCGTGGAATGTTCATTCAATCGCCCAGGCATGTCACTGCGGTGGGCTTTCACTGTGTTCACGACACCGGCATAGACGTGGCTTCGTGTCTTGGCGACTCCGAAATTCCCGGTGATTATTGGACTTTACTGCCACTATTGTGGCTTCTGACTGGACTGGTGCGGTCAAACGACGGCGCTCGACGGTGATGAAGAAATGCGTTTCGAAATGCACAGGCTTACTGATGTATAACGAACCAAGCCAGTGGATGCACCAAACTTCACACACATTTTCTCGTCTCTTTTTGTGGAGTTATCAGTGGTCACCTTCTCTTGTTAATGGCTTTTTAACGGTACTAAAGACATTGCGTAAACACAGACCACAAAACGCTCTGTTTTGCCTAGGGCTCCTTCGTCTGTCGTGACAAACAATGCAGCTTGTGAGCCTGGATCTCGCTCCGGGCAGAAGCATTGGGCTGTGACGAAGACCTTGGAGTGCCGAGGACAGGACAGCCATAATTCCGGCTTCCTGAAATCCCGAGTTTCCCACGCGCAGGCGCGTATTCAGGGCGTTTGCTCACGGATGATGGTGGGGAACGGGAGTGTATAAATCTATGCAGAAAATGGGAGCACAGTGAGCATCAAATACCCAGCGTCCCCATGAGGCTGACAGGTGTGATGATCACTTTGTCGGCGGCACCGCCCAGGATTAACAAGAAATAATAATATTTTGCAGCATTATCAAAAAAAAATAAACCTAAATTAGACTGCATGGGACCATCGGTACTGGCCACGCTCCCATCGGTACCATTGGTACATACAAACAACGTGGCTTCCAGTAATTTAACCGAATTTATAAATACCGTCTGACGTTGCTGGTCAATTGGTTCAGCCCAGGAGCCGAGTTTAAAGTAAACGTAATAAAACTCCTAGCACTATCGGTAGTAACCGCCGAGCGCCGGCACATCCAGTGTTTGACGAGCCGGAGCTACAGGCCCTGAGGTGCCTTTTAACCTCCTGAGGAGAGGTCCATAAACTGTGTCCTTGCTCTTAGAGACTGAACCGGCCGACATCAACTGGGTCTATTTCGGTACTCACGGCGCGCGAGCGTTGCTAAGGCGGAGCTTGTTCCAATCTCTGCTACACACTGTGCGGTGCGACGGGCGCTTGGACGGCTTCCAGTTTCAGAGACTCGACATTTCTTTTAGCGATTTCCATCGCCTAAGGCAATTAATAGCTTTACGATACCTTATGAGGACTTATGTCTAATGTGTGGAGACGTCTTCTGCTACAGAAGTCTGCCGTCTTCTGCCTTTTAGAGCCGGCCGTGTCCCGTATAATATGACATGTGCGTCAATCAGCTTATTCATGACATTAATATAATTTTATGTTTTTGCCCGCCCACGATATCGCTTAGATGCCACTGCGTGTGTCGTTGCCACATCAACGGTTTCTATATTTTCAATTTTCTGCTGCTAATCGAAGATCATTTTCATTTACCTCGATAGTTGCCGAGTCATCTGGCATGATGAAAAAAGTATTTTGCTTGCTGTTTCCCAGATGTGCTTTATCGCACTCAACAATAGCCAATAAAGGCATGGAAAATGCAGAATGGACGTCGCAAGGCATGATAATTATACATGCAGGGATGGACAAGCTAATGCCGAAATGCAAAAACAATGTGGTGGTAAAGACAAATGTAGCAAAAAACCTACAGCAACTGGAATCAGTCTCTAACCACCATTTTCACGACGGACCCCGGGAACCGCGATGGGCAATGGATTGCAACGTTCCAGTCATCTGACAAATCACGCCAGAATTTGCATTACACACCATGTCCGAGCCTAAAACAACTCTATTCAGTGTGTCAGTGTGTCCACTGTCCAAACCAGACTGGAGACTGTTCAGAAAGTATGGCGAGTGTCTGCCACGCTGTCTTTCGCGTTTTTTTTTTTCACTACTCATCCCTATCTGACCATTGCGCCGCTAGAAATTTGTGCTCGTCACGGTCAACACCTCCGTGCACATACAGGAAGTCACTTCTCACTGCTGACCGCAGCGAATTCTCCGTGGGATCGGTCGAGCTACCGACCTCCCCCTCGGGCGGTCGCGTGAGAGTTCTGCCGAACCTCCCTGAGGCGAATTCGTGTGAGCTCGGTAGGTTTTTATATACCCGAGAGAATTCGTGAGAGCATCCGAGTTTATGACCACGGGCTACGGTTATCCAGAAGCGCAGCGATTACATTATTTCATAAGTCAATCATAGCAACTCAGTTTACGATAATTTGCTTGGATCTGACGCGAATCACAGCACAATCGGCGATGATTTGATTAGCTTAACCTCACGGTACCACACATAACAGCCCGCCTTATCGGGACTGGTTAGACGTTTTGGGCTGGTTACCAAGGAAATCGTCGAGCTGTGGGATTTCGGTATAATATTTACTGCCTGAAAAGGCACAGCAGTGCAGGTAGCTTGCGTGCCGATGCCGGTATCTCTACCGAAATAAAATCTCACAAAACAAAAACTGTTGCACCGTCAAAGTATGGCTAGCGATGAAACATCGTCAACAGTGGGATGGCTCCAAGCGATAGTGTCTTGTAACAATAAATCACATCCACACAAAAATTCTAAACTTCTAAGCTCCAGTTGGTGTTTGTGAGCATTTGGACGTTTTCAGGAAACGGTCTCTGAAATTGATACGATTACCCGCAGTGCCATTGTTTATCGGAATGGAAGTTCTACCACCTGTCAGGGCGGGATAAATGTTTACTGGCGCACCTACTGCGTGAATAAACACACCAGCTTATTTTGTCAGACCGTGTTTCTAAACGCGACGCCAAACAGGAATCCGAGAGCGGGAAGCGAGTCCCTCGCGGTCTCTATACCGCCGGCGCAGATGAACAGACAGACGGACAGACGGACGGACGGGCATGGACTCGAACGACCAGACGGACAGACGGACAGAGACTGGCGGACGTACAGACGGACAGACGGACAGACGGACAGACGGACAGACGGACAGGCGGACGAAAGGACGGACAGACG